CTCATTTGAAAAGACCCTGATTCTGGGAAAGATTGAAGGCAGGGCGAGAAGGGGATGACAGAGGATGAGATGGTTGGATGGCATCACTGACTCAATGGACATGAGTTTAGGGAAGCTCAGGGAGTTGGTGATGGACAGGGAGGCCTGGCGTGCTGCAGTTCATGGGGTTGCAAAGAGACGGCCATTGCTGAGCGATTGAACTGAACTGAACTAAGTTTCCATGCTAATCTTTCCATACATCTCACCCTCTCCTCCCCTCTCCACAGGTCCTTTACTTCTTTATATATGCTATTTTAGGTTGCATAAGATATAAACAAATAAAAATATCATCACTGTCATAGTGTTAACTTATTTCCACTATGTTCATGAATGTAATATTTCTGTAGCCCCTCTTTGAAATAGGTAGAATGTTCTGTAAAGGAAAAAAAAAAATGAAACGGAGAGCGACTCAACTTCCAGTCTTTGAGTTTCTAATTAGAGCTTGAAGCAGGTATGACTTCATGAATTAAAGTGAATTAAAATGTCTTTTGCCTTTGGTATTACTCTAGCACCACCAACTTAATGGACATGAATTTGAGCAAACTCTAGGAAATAGTGAAGGACAGGGAATCCTGGTGTGCTGCAGACCCTGGGGTGGAAAAGAATCGGACACGACTTAGCAACTGAACATTACTCTATTTCCTCTTTTACTGGCCTTTGCTCTCTTTCTGTCTTAAATATTAAATTACAAGTTCCTTTTAAGATGTCTTTGCCTCTTTGTCTTCTAGCAGGGCATAAAAGCCAACATTCATGGTATATATTCTAACTGCCAGGTGCTGTACTATATGCTTCACATGAACTGTTCTTTTATTTCCCACGAAACTTTTTGAGATAAATTTTGAAATCATTCCCATTCACGGAGGGAGAGTTACAGAGGTTGTGTATAAATGGCATATAGGCAATTCTTCCTTAAGAAGCAGTTGAACAAACTGAACATCCAAGTATGTTTCTCCTGAAGTTAAAATGACTGTGAAAGAAGAATTTGCTCTAGGGGAAAGAATTTGAGGATTGGGACCAAGGGGCTCACTGTTAAATCACAGCAGCAGAAACGCTCTGTGGAGGGCTGCTAGGATTAAAGTGGAAGTTACTCAGTCATGTCCGACTCTTGCGACCCCTCCTGGAATTCTCCAGGCCAGAATACTGGAGTGGGTAGCCTTTCCCTTCTCCAGAGGATCTTTCCAACCTAGGAATCGAACCCAAGTCTCCCACCATTGCAGATGGATTCTGTACAAGCTGAGCCACAAGGGACGCTAGGATTAAATTGATTACCTCCATTAAATTGCTCCATTGCTTTCTGAGGAAGGAAGTGCATTGCTTTTGTTTTCCTCACTGGATGGTAGAAAGAAATCACCATAAAACAGGAAAAAAATAACATACTTTTTTTTTAAAAAATAAAAAGATTTAAGAGCTCTCTGATATGCATGAAAAGTGAAAGTGAAAGTCGCTCAGTGTCCGACTCTTTGTGACCCCATGGACTATATATAAAATGCCATAAATGAACATTTATTAGTAACAATTGTCATAATTTATGCTACTCTATTATTTTAGAATCTGTGGGCAATTTTTCTGGTATTTTATAATAAGATTTTTAGTTAGGTTTTAACTACATATAGGAAAATTCAGACAACATTTGATAAATTGCATGTTGGATCATAAATCATCTGGGGACTCATTTTGCCACCTGAACCCTTCTTTTTTTTTTAGGCTTTTGATTCTTTTGCTAATCTTAATAATGTCTCTGTTTAAAAATAACCATCAACAGATAGTGTGTATTTAGGGCTGTGACCAATGAGGCTGGAATCCCTCCACCGTCTCTCCAGGAGGGATGTTTTGCTTGTGGGAGCACAGGTTTGCTGAATGAATTCTCCTGGTACCAATACACTGTTCAAGGCAGCACATTACACTGTGCTTTAAGTGAACAGATAGATTCCAAAATCATATGTGGGCTTGGGGAATTGCCCACATTTAACCAAACAACCAGCTGTGCAAATGTTAAAATGCAATTGATCTACTATAGTATTTGAGAATCATGGAGGGTCATTTAGTTCAATACTCAGATGGTTACCTAGCAGGGCTGGAAGCTTTGCAGGTCCAGCCATGACTGATAATAGTCTTTACTGAAGATGATCAAAAAGGTTGACTGGACCTCTTTTAACCTATTACCACTCCATTTATGTGTTTCTCCCCTCAATTTCCAGATCCTGGAAATTTCTCCCCTAAAATTTAGCTAAAGAGAAGGGTTGTGTTGGTTTTTTTTTTTTTTCTGATACATTTTCCCTTCTTTGTTTGATTTCTAACTGCTATATGGAAATGACAAAATCAAACAGACATACAGTGGAAAATCAGAGTTTGTATCACAAACAAAAAGTAAGAATATTAGTCAAAAATATTTGTTTTATGTTGTCTCTTGCTTGTTTCCTGTTAGTCTCTCACTCCTGCTCTAGTCAAATTTTCTTTGTTTTATGATTTTCAGCTCATGAAGTCTATATTCACTCTTTCTGCATGGAAATGTAGCTTTTACATGAATCTTAGATTTCATTTTGTTCTATTTCCTTTGGTTTTCTCATGTGTTGGCTCTATTTTTTCACTCAGCTGTATTTTAATGAATTAATCCTGGTAACTGAAATATTCTTCTGAGATATATATATATATATATATATATATATATATACACACACACACACATATATGTATATATATACATATACATATTATTTTTTGCCATTATATAAATAATTAATTTGTTAAGGAGAGTTATGCATTCCATAAAATTATAAGAGCCTATTTTCAGACCAATTAGAATAAGATTGTTGTAAAATGTGGTTGACTTGAGAGTTGAATCCTTTGGTTTTTAGATAAGGGCTCTTTTATCAACAGAAAAAAGTATTTCCTTTTAGCTGCATATAGCATTTTAGTGTTTTGGAACATGCTTAAAAAATGTAATTTTGGTTCAAATAAAAATAAAGTATTTATTATTTGAAAGAATAGCTTAGGGCTGAATTTTCACCTTTTCTGCTGAGATGCAAGCCAAAATGAGTCAATTAAAATTATTCTTTTGCTTAGATAAATAGCAATTACAACAAAAAGCATCGAAAAAGAACACTTCAGCAGAGCCCTGAGATATGGAAAGCAGTGTTAATGTGTAAAAAAGCTCTAGGAACTGAAAGGCACTGTCAAGTGGACAGAAATTTTTTTCTTTGTATTTGCTTTAGTGGAGTAAGACACTTCTCCAAGAGGCAGAGAAAATGGTTTTCATGCTCTCTCTCTCTCTCTCTCCTAACTATTAAATCATGAGATTCCATTTCCATCAAGTCATTTCTTTGCAGGTGATGTCTCTAGTCCTTTTCCACTCTAAGGTTCTATGAATTCTAGAAATATTGACTTAGAGATTGTTTCATAAATCATGAATGCAAACCAAACAATCCAATCACAGATATTAATGTTATCAGACCCAGGAGTGACCCTCCAGTTTTCATCACCATAACCTGAATTTCCAAACCAAACAAATAATCTCATCTGATGTTATTGAAAAAAGGTTGCACTTGAGTAATGAAATTCCAGTGCAACTTGAACTCTGAATTTCACAGGCAACACTTTAAGTTTAACCTTATTTTGTTTCATGGACTTAGACTTTCAAAAGATAGCCTCTCTTAGATGATTTATGTGGAGTACAAGGACTGGTAGCTCACCTGGTAAAGAATCCACCTGCAATGCAGGAGATCCCAGTTCGAATCCTGGGTTGGGAAGATCCCCTGGAGAAGGGATAGGCTACCAGTATTCTTGGGCTTCTGGTGGCTCGGCTGGTAAAGAATCTGCCTGCAATGCGGGAGACCTGGGTCCAATCCCTGGGTTGGGACGATCCCCTGGAGAAGAGAACAGCTACCCACTCCAGTATTCAGGCCTGGAGAATGCCATGGACTATATAGTCCATGGGGTCACAAAGAGTTGGAAACGACTGAGTGACTTTCAAAAGGACTAATAGGTCCATTGCGTTTTAAAGACTTTGAAGTATTTCTCTGTATCTCTCATTACTAAGAAGTATAGGACCTTTCAGGATGCATATTTACAGTAACTTTCATTTCTTAGGAAATTAGATAATCATAAAATACTGAAAACAGAAATATTTCAAAGTAATTGCATTGTCTATAAAATTCTGTTCTGTAATTAAGGGACTGGGAGGGGAGTGATAGTTACTCTTTTCTCATCCTTTCTGTGTTCCATTTTTATACTACATGGCATAAATTCATTTTTTAAAATGTAATAAAATATAAATAGAGCAGAAAAAAATCAAACCTCTACTCCTTCATAAAAGGATAGTTCAATTTAAAATTGCAGTCACTAGAATGTTTAGTATCTAAGGTCAAGTTTCAGGCCTTCCTTTGCCTCCTTTTTTGTGTAGGAGAAATGCTTTTTATATTGAAATTATTGTTCTGTTTTTCACAATATCTGTCATGGATGACAGTCACTTACACAATACCAGTAAATGTTTGGATGAGGCTGATTGAATTAAATTGCCCTTAGGTTAGTGCTGGGTAGATGAAGAATAATTAAGCTCACAAGCCAAGCTACTTTTGTTCTGCTATTTTGAGAAAAAAGATGGGTTAAATTTCCTGAAGTTGTGATCTAATAGTGGGCCAGATTCTAAATAGGCACCTTTGAGTAGTTTAATTTATGTTGTTAACATCAAGTAAAGCTGATTGTTATTTAAATATGATATTCTTTTTTGGAAATCAAAATTTTTCGTGCTTGCCTTCTAATACCTACCTTGATTCTAATAACTTCTAATACCTAACTCACTTCTAATAACTTTGGCTCAATCCTCCAACTAAAAAATTAACAGACATATATACAAGTTTCTGTATTTTAGAAACTTATTTAGAGTTAGAACAAGATCAAACAGAAAGGAAGACAAAACTGGGCAGTGATTGGAGTTAGAAAGGAAATTAGCATAAAGAGGGAGAATGAGTGGTTTGGAGTCAGCATGCAAGAAAAGTGGGAGAAAGAAGTTTCAGAAAACATTTCAAGGCCAGGTATGTATAATGTGGAATATAATGGATGTAGCAGCAAAACACATCCATGTCTTCAAATTATTGAAAAAAAGTGAAGACTAAATTCAGGAAGACAAGACTAAAACATTAGAGAATTTGTTTCATTGGAATATATGAAGCCACATGCCTTTAACAGAGAGTAAATGATAGCAAGACTTATTGCTAAAACCAATTATAAGTAACAAAATATTAATCTTTTCATGACTAAATGTATCTAGATTTGCATTATAAATAGGATAGCATTTATTACAGAAAAGTACAAGACATTTGTGCAAACTGCATTCAGGGCTTACATTATTGAGAAAGCAAAATTATGGGAGAAATAATAATTAGCTATGCTAGAATAAAAAGCCCTTTTTATCTAGTTACTACCCACTTTAGATATTAATATGATCCAGACTAGTCTACACTGCTTTCTAAGAGTTTATTTAAGAAGTATGGCTGCAACTTAGTGTTTTTCTTTATTTTTGGCTGGGTAGCATTTGTGTTTACCTTATTTCCAGTTACCTGTTTTGTTGGTGAAAAGTCAGTAATGATTGGAATTGGTACCCATTCTAAACTGGGGAGAATTTTCATTTTTTTTACTCTTGGTATTTGCCAACCTTTTATTTTAAAGTAAAGCTCTACTTTTTACCAGGAGCCACCCTGAGGAAAATGGGAATTTAGTATAATAAAGTATGCTATTTATTTATTTGCAATTACTATTCTCTCAATTATACATTTTTCACAGTCAACTGCTTCACTAAATTAATTCCTATTGTTCCTTCAAATTGTATTCCCTTTAAACATGTTCCCCGTGGTAAGGAAAGCTGCACGTAAGAAATATGGTCTATGATGTCAATATGAAGGCTTTATTTTATTTTATTATTCAGTTATGCATATTAAAACAAATACATTATTCCCAGCAGTGGTACTGTTTTGTCAGTCAGATTCTTTAATACCACAAGAAAGAGGCACACAGGAGTCACCTTGGCACAGGGAGCTTATTAAGTTTATATAGAAATAGTAGGTTGAAAGTTTCTCTAAGATTAACATGTACTACCCCTCTTGGAGAACTGAAACCATAACTCAGTATTACTAGGATCTAATAGGAATGTGAGATACTTTTTCATTTATCCTTTACGTTTCTAAATATATAAGGATTTGATTGGCTTAGGTTATCATCTTTCAGTTTGGATATGGTTTCAGAATGCAGCCCTTCAGAGGTGGTTGGCCTCACTTTTGACCTGCTCCAGGTGTAGTTTCAGAATGGAACTATAGGGTTTAGTTTCAGAATGAAGTCTATTTGGTATAGTTTCGGAACGGAGCCCTTCCGAGATGGTTGGCCTCACTTTTAACCTGCTCCAGCTTGGTTGTCTTTAACTAGCACACTGATTACTGCTGCAATCGGTGTTGCCAAAGAACTAGATTGCTTTCACCCCATATACCTTTGAAAGCATCATATACAGGAAAGGACTGGTTCTGGCCACTTTTCTTAGGAGGACATTGTGGGCTTGGCAGTCATCTGAGGTTATACACATCTCCTTCCATCATGTCCGGTAAAAGTACCACTTTGTTAGATAAAGGTCATTTTTCTCATTTAAATTAGTTGATTTTATTAAATTAGTTATTTCTTTATTTTAATTAGAAAATGTGGTAGGAATGAGAAGATTCAGGAAAAATTATTCTATGTTAAAGTACTAAAATCTAAATATTCTCATATCAAGAGACTAGTTGCCAGTTTCATAGTTTTCTCCCTTGAAATCACACACATTAAATTTGAAAGTATTGCATATATAAAGGAGTTGGTAGATATTGTTTCATGAAAGTCAAAATTTCAGAGCCTATTATCTCTGCAGTCTGTAGGTTTGATATGATATGACTGTAGTATGGAAACTAGGATTTGTTAGACAGAGACTTGTGAGTTTCTCGTGATGGCTCATGTGCGTCTAGAGCCTAATCCTTTTCTAAGATTTGAGTTCAGATTTATTGCTACAAATAAAACACTGCCTATTTTTTTTTAAATAAGTTATTCATAGAAAGCATAATAAGTATACACTGCTGACTTTCTTCTCACCAGTTTTTGCTTTTTAAAATGGGAGGCAGTTAGCAGGAAACAAGTGACACACCACATTTTGGGGTGAGGTGGGCAGTAAAGTGATACGTGGAAGGGGAGAAGCTCCTTGGATAATTTAGTGGTCTCATAAAACTGAATTCTACCAGGAACTGTTCGATTCAGTTGTCACACCCTGAAAGAGTTCTGGTTTGCTCTGGAGGAAGTGTCCAGTGGGTTTAAAAGAGGGTTTCTGACACTCAAGTCACAGAAGGTGTGGAGTGTTACACCTCCACTTACCCAGTCACACCAAATTAAAAACAGAACTGGGGGAGAAGTAGGTCAGCAACTCTAAATTATGCAGGAACAAGTGGTTAATTAGTGAACCTCTCTGGCCATCTGCACACATTTAAAGGTTGAGAGAAACAACTGTTATTTTGATGACTGCACGAGAAATGCAGTCACATAGCTTATACAATGTGGGAATAAAGCAAACATTCATGACATGTTTATTACATGTGTCATATGGTGTTTTAGTGCTTTTCTATATCACTTATAATCCTTGATGCCTTTTGTGTTGGGCCTTATTATCATCATTTATATCAATGAGAAATTGGGCTCAAGGTAAGGTCCCAAGATAGTAAAATGCCCTTTGGGACCCAAAGCTGGCTGATTTAAAGTCCAAAATGCCTGAGGGACTTGGAGAAATTTATTTACTATTGTTCTAGCAGCAATGAGAATCTTCCTCCTGGAGTTCTTGTGGGGGAACTGCTGGCTAATTAAAAGGACATTAAACAACTTGTAAATAAAATTTAGTGCCTTTTCATTTATTTGTTTCAACAACACCTGCCTTGAGCCAGTGCCAAGGGATGTTCTGTGTGTGGTAGAATAAATTAAGAATAAATGAGTCATAGTATCCACCCCCAATAAAGAGGAGAGGGGGACATATGAATGAAAATTACAGTATCATATAAAAAGAGCTAGAACATAGGTGCCTTAGTTAATAGTGTGAGTTCCACCCGATGTTATTCCTTTAAATGTGTGTTTTTAGAATTTTTTTGAGACAAACTTTATACACAGTGAAACAGACAGATATTATATGTAGCATTTAATGAATTTTAATGCAGCATATACACCTGTGTAACCAACAACTAAAACCAGACATAGGGCACTTTTATCATCCTAGAAAGCCCGCCCATGTCCTTTTTATTGCTTTCCCATCCCTTAGCAACTGTTCTAATCTCTATCACCATAAAATTTCAACTTGAACATCATACAAATGAAATCACTTGGTATGTTCTTTTTTCTTTTGATATAGCTTCATATTATCAGCAAAACATTTCATAAATTTGGCTCCAAATGTTGATTGTATCCATAATTCTTTCTTTTTTTATTATGGGGTAGTATTCCATTGTGTAAATATACCACAATTTGCTTATCCATTCTTCTGCTGATGGACATTTGGATTGTCTCCAGCTATTGGCCAATTGTTATTTGATATCTGGCTCCTTAACTCGAGCAGTTTTTGGCTATACCAGCTATGTATTTATTCACTCATTTATTATATTTATACACACCATTATCCATTAACCAATATGTCTATGCAAAATATGCATTTAGGGTGAGATTATTTGTTAGTGAATGTGGACATTACTCATAATTTTAATCATTTTTTGATAACTTTAATATTTTAATGTTTATATATTAACACATCTGATCAGATTTTCATTAATTTTATTTTGCAGTGTGGTCAGTGAAGTTCTTATACTAGGATGACCAATAATGTAATTCTCGCCATTGGTCCATTTCATGTAGGTTTAATTTAGTTGAAACAGAATAGTACAATTTGTAAGTTCACTTATTGGTTAAAATTGAGTATCATATTCTAAAAGTCCACTTTCTGGTACAAATGTAGACTACCACATACATCAGTAAAATGAAAACAAAGCATAAATGAAAGAACCTTTGTCCCATTTCTCCTACTTTTAGATGTTCCACTCATTCCTCGTCAGCTGAAGACTGTAGGTGACATGAACATCTGACATATATATTGTTTTACTGAGGGGACTAATGTCAAACTTAATATTACTTACTTCTTTAATTTTTTTAAGTTTAGAAAGTAAATATAATTATAAGTGCTAACATTTTCCGCACTCTACAGTGGTTTGGTTTATTCACATCCTGGGGGGCCTGCACTCTGCTTTAGAGACACCCGTTGTAGAGTGTGGCTTAGCAGAAAAACTGGACCAGTTAGCAGTCAGAATGCTCATTTTGAAATTATATCACACTCATGGACTTACTGTAGAGCCCCATACTAGTCACTCCATGTCTTTTGTACCTCATTTCAAGATAAGACATTAGGACTGAATAACTTCTAGGGTCTCCCTGTACCTAACACCACACGTGTTTAATTCATTCTGTCTTTGGGTCTTTTTCATCTTCTCAGGAGACCCATCTGCTAATGTGATCTCCCTCTTACTTCAGTGATGCCCTTTAGTAGTATCTGAGACAACGCTGTGGACTCGGTCTTTTGCATATCTTTCCCCCTGCCTACAGTTTATCTAAATGTCCTGTTCCAGAAAGACTCTCGAGAGATGTTCTGCCAAGAGCAGTATGTAAGAGTCTAAGATAAGCAAACCTGTGCCCCACCCCCCACAGTTGGTAAGATCCTGAGGCAAATGTCCAAAAAATCAAGGATGAGAATTAGTAGTAGAAGTAGTGAAAGTCGCTCAGTCGTGTCTGACTCTTGCGACCCCATGGACTGTAGTCCGCCAGGCTCCTCTGTCCATGGGATGCTCCAGGCAAGAATACTGGAGTGAGTTGCCATTTCCTTCTCTAGGGGATCTTCCTGACCCAGGAATCGAATCCAAGTCTCCTGCATTGCAGGTAGATTCTTTACCGACTGAGCTATGAGGAAAGCCCTAAAGATGAGAAAAAGAAGACAAATTGC